TGTTTGGATGAAACCACAATCGGAAGGAAACCACAGAGGAGCTATTAGCAGTGCAAGGATGATCAAATTAGTAACTGGAAATACAAACTTTGAATTTTTGTGGGTGGATGATTAGAGTTGATTTCTGCATGTTTTTGTTTTTCTCAATATGCATTGCTGGCCACACCTGAGCACACTAAGATGATTAAAGGCAGGCACATCTGTGGGCAGAACACTGTGCCCTTTTTTCCCCCTCAAAGCATTTCCCATGACTGAGGTGGCTTTCCCAGCAGGGGGCCTTTTTCAGCAAAGCACCCATGGATCTCAAAGGAAGCTGAAAGAAAGGTGTAATATTTGTCAGGAAGAATGGGAAGACCTTATATCTCATGTTTCATTGCCTTGACATTTTCATTGGTTAAACAGGAAACATTACTTTTTAAGTGAAAATGTGTAAGTTTAATGGTGCGTTTATGATGATTTTCTAATTAAATGTGGCACAATCAAGATAGTGTATTTGCCCACATCTGGCCCCTGGGCTACACCATTAAATCTCAGACAAATCAGTGCTTTGTTTTTGTATACATATTTTACAGTTTCTGGCCAGAAATTACAAAAAGGACATTTTAGCATAAAAATCTCCTAGAGCTTTAAATAAACATTTTAACAGGTAAGAGGCAAATATCATAAAGTATCAGCACAAGCTGTCCTAATTCCTAAAAATAAACTATAATGATCTATATTTTGACATCACTTGAATTCAGTTTCATTATCTTCTCAGTAAATAGTCTAGGAAATGGACAATAGATGGACAGTAAAGAGGCAGACTAAGAGAGACTGGTAACTATATGCATAGAAGGTGATTTAAAACCAACTTTCTTCGATAGTCGACTGAAACTATTTCAAGACTTTGCAGGTCACACTAAAAGGCTACATGCCACAATGAATACATTTTATAATGACTGCCATGCAGAGGACCTTGAACATTCAGAGGTAAATGCTCTGCAGTCAGGAACACTTCGATGGTTTTTGTAGAAATAGCACCATGAAAACACAGTTTAATACTTTAACCTAATGAAAGTGTCACATATTATTACTTACAGCCAAAAGGCAGTAGAGGAACAACTGTCACTATTTGACAATAAAACTGCTTTGTTTTTATGCCTTCCCAAAAGCCAACAAGTTGGGCTCAAATCGTTCTCTATTTTTAGAACCTCATTAGCTGCAAAACCTGACTTTAACTTCAGAGTAAATAAAAATAAATCAATGTCACAGACAGATTTATGCTGAAATCTGAGAAATACAAAGCATATATAAAATACAAGGTCTGCTGATACTTGTGTAAGTTTCACAGACCATGAAGAGAAGCTTGTGTAGCGTGAATTAAAACCTTTAGGTTTAGTTCTGCACTTAAAAATCTGATTTTGACTTCAGCGTGTGTGGCCATTAAAAGGGCGATAATCTCCTGTCCAGCAGTAATCAAACCAAATTCCTTCCATGACCTCCTGACTCACTTTCATAAGCATTGAGAAGAATTTGCAGCAAATGCAGCTCTCTAAAACACATAAACTTCATGTGTGTGTTTGTTTTTACAACTAACTCGTGTATTTTCCGACATATCATCAAAATTCCCTTGTTGAAGCCGGGGAGACCCTAATTGTTCCTAAAAACGCAGGCATTTATACTACACCGACAGACCTGCGACCTCCGACCCCTGACTGGAAGCTCGCAGAGTGACCAGCAAGCCAGACGGCCACAAATAAAAGTAGATAACGATGCTCTTCCCTTTCTTCTTGGCCACATGTGCTGAGACATTTCCACAGAGTGGCCGTAACAAGGCCACTGATCACAGGCGCCGCACTGTTCTCTTCACAATTGATTACAGCTGAACCACATTGTTGTTGTTGTTATCCCTCTCAGACTGCAAGCTCGAAAGGAGACAAAACTCCCAGCAACTAACAAATGGTGAAGAGGCTATTGCTGCAAGAGAAAAGACTCTTAAAAGTAGAAATGTTTATTAACAGTTAAGAAACTTTTTTTGGACAAAAGTTGCCTGTCAAAAAGCAAAACTGACTGGTTTAGCAAATGCAAAGCAAAGTACTAGGTGAAGATGCATTGGACTTTTCTTGGCCAATACTGATTTCCAATTTTTTAAAGGTCTCGTCTGATCTTATTAGTGGTTTTTAAGCTAAAACTTGGAGTTGTTAAATCAAGAAATACTTAGTTTCACTCTATTTCAAAAAGTATTTTTAAACATGCTTTCTTGCACCAAAATCAAAATAAACTGAGATGTTATCTTACTAAGTTGGCACATAACTCAGCATAGCAGTGCTGCAGATGTACAATTTGTGCAACCCATCTGGCCAGAATGTTTTGATCCATGAAAATTAACAAAACATGGCATGGTAATGTTGGTATTTGGAAGAAACTGTAAACCATGCAGCATGTACCAATGTTTTTGAAAAACTTAAGAATATTATCTTAAAAATAATTCAAAGAGGTTTTATCCCTAATCTTGATCTAATTTTAACAAAGAAAGGAAATATGTTGTTTGTTAAAGTGTTTATAAAAGCAAAAATAGTGCAACTACTTAGTTTGTAATTTTTTGTATTTTTTAAAAATTCTAATATTTTAGTAATTGATCTACTTTTTTACTGCAGGCCAAGTCATGATGAAGGGGAAAAAAGTTGAGTTGAATCTCTATTTGATTGATGCAACTGTGGTGTAACAATTCAAAATTTAACTGTTGGATTTCGTGTCAAAACTCCTATGTCCAGGTATAAAATAGACAGAGAATCAGGGTCTTAATGCCTTTTCTCTCCATATTCCACCATCAAACTCCATTTGAATAAGTCAGAGCCAAGTCATCCTGTTAAGTAATGTGGATTAACATTCCTCGCTGTCTCCCAGCCAGAGGAAAAGGCCGGAAGATACGGAAAGGGACAGGAACAAGAAGGACTATCACGTAAAAGCTTTAAGCTCAACACAGCATATGCTGCACAGTGTCATCGTAAATAACCACCCAGAGCATTTAGGGGAGGACAGAGGTAATCCAAACAAACCCAGAAAATCTTCCGGAGATAATTCATAACTACCTTTCTGGATAGGGAGGGCTGTTAGATACTTACAACACACTCAAAAAGGCCAGGACAAAAACAATTTTAAAATGCTTTCCATGAGCAGATTCATAAACAATTCATATCTAAATCAAACTAAAATCAATCATACTTATATTAGTCAAGCAGTTACATATATACATCCAGCATGAGGCCATCTGCCATCTTTTCCTTTAGGATCTCACACAAACACGCAGAAGGTGGAGGGGCTGAGAAAAGCAGTAAAACTCAGGACTGACAAGACAAGAGTAGCCTTTAGTACTAAATATGGTCCACCCACAAATCAAGGAATTATTCTGTCTTGGAAGTCAAAGGAGTAGTCATCCTATTGCCTCAACAGCCATTAGCAATGTCAACCAAACCTAAATAACAAAGGCTGTAAAGGTAAAGTGCTTTTCAAAAATGTCCATATACCCTTTGAACCTTTCACACGTTTTGCCACATCACAAACTCAAACTTGATAGAGCAACACATAATTGTTTAGTGAGAAGAAAATTATGCATACTTTCCATTTAAAAAATATGAAATGTGGCTTAGATTGTGGTCTGCCTCCAACTAACTACACTGATGAAGACCAAGGAACACGGTGGACAACTTATAGAGAAAGCTCTGGAGAAATTTAAAGTAAGGTTGGGTTATAAAAACATTTCCCAAGCTTCAAACATCTCATAGGAAACTATGCAAGCCATTGAAGAGAGACAAGAATAGGAATTGTTAAAAAATTAGCTAGAAGACGTTTACCGCGTCTTCTAGCTAATTCTAGCACTAGAGGACTTAGAAGACTTGCACATACATGTGGGAAAAAAAGGATCTGATCAGATAAGATCAAAATTAAACTTTCCATTCTACATGTAAAAACTAACACAGCAAATGACCCTGAACACACCATCACTATTGTGAAACAGGCTCAGAGTATCATACTGTGGGGATGCTTTGTGTGGTAGCAGTTATCCTCTCAGGAGGGCAAAAACTCTAAACATACATCCAAAGCTAAACGTTAATCATTTGGAATGACCTAGTCAAAGTTCATACCGATATTCAATTGAGAATCTGAGGCTGAAATAAAGATATTCAACCTCTTCATTCAAACTTTGTTTGTTTATTTGTTTTTTTAAGATTCAAGGGCAACACTATCATTTACCCTAAACAACTTGCAGCTCTAACTGCAATAAAGGAGGTTCTAGAGTCAAAGGGGGTGAATACAACTCAAATCTTCTTATACTTTTAGCTCCAGAAGCACTGAAAAACCAGGTATCCTATTTTTTCCATGTCGTTTTTACGCATTAGATTATTTGAAATCCAAAACAAAACTAATACAATGTGAAAAGGTTTAGCAAAGCACTGCAAACACAGATATGGACAACTCGTTTTCATAAGAAGTCAAACGCTGGAGTACTTCACAAAAGGTCATCTTATTGCCATCAACAGCCATTAGTAGTAAAGGCAGTGGAAATGGCTCTCATCCATTCTTATCTTTAATGAATCTACATTTTCAGGGGGTGGCTGGCACAACAGCAGGGTAAGAGTCCTCATGTCTGTCAATGGGCTTGAGTCTCTCCCCGTGCCGAGGCTTCAGAATCACAAAAGGACTTTAATCTGAAAACCAAAGCTCGTTTGCATGAGAGGAGAAGCTGAGTGACAAACAGATCTGCTTCATGTACATGCGAGAGAGATGATCTCTTGTGGAAACAAAGAAAAGAGTCTGAAATATAGACATGCCTTTGAAGGACATGAACCGTCTCTAAAAAGTGGTTTAATTGTAATAAGTACACGTTGGAGTGCAGTTAAGTTTTTCCGCAGATTGGCACACAGATGAATGAGGCAAATCCGCAAAGAGCAGAGCCAACAGAAACGCCGAGGAGAGACAGGAAGGATTCCCAGTGGAAGGGGAAAGCTGCAGAAACTCACCGGACGCGCTCAGGTCCAGCACGCCTTGGAGCAGCAGGGAGAGCCACAGAGCGCAGGCTGGACATCTCCACAGACGTTCCCGCACCGCGGCCCGATTTTGATACATTCCTCTTGCTCTGTCTTACACCCTTGGCCGCTTTTCACATCCAAATCCGAACGGGATCGTTGAGTTCTCTTCCCCCAAAAAATGCGTCTCCAAATTCAGCGCGCTGCCTTAGAGTTTGCTGTTTGCGCTTTCCTTCAGAAAAAATAAATAAATCAAAAATCAAAAAGCGCACTGGGTTACCTGAATAAAAAAATGAAGGAGAAAGTTGCGTCTTCTCCTTCTTCTCTCTCTGGAGCCCTAACTGTGTGTGTGTCTCTCCAAATGAGCACAAACTTCTTCCAACAAACTTGAGTAATCAGAATTGTGCCCCAAAGGAACCACATGGTTGTGTTTAGACACGTGTCGCCACCTTGCGTCCACTACAGGAAAAACAACCGAACCACCGGAGGCTTCTCTGTTTCCATAAAAAGGAAATTACTGTTCTCAGAATTATATTTTTGCTTCTAGAAAATTTTCATTTTCATTACCTATTTTAAAGTTAGTTTAGGTTACTGTTCAAACAGCTAAATAAAGATTTTAATCATAATTGTTTGACTGCAGAACTTGTATTTTCAGGGAAATCACTGAAAACATCAGCCAGTCTTGAATATTTTTTTTTTTGAGTCCAGGAAAAATCAGATAAAGGTTAATTACAGGTTTTAATAAACATAGAGATCATCTTGCTTCATTTGTACTAGGATTCAAATCAGTTGCCTCTATTGATAAACCTGCAGCACATCTTTAAATGAAAGTCCTAAAGGTTCACAAGGTTAGCTATGTTGAAGGCTGCACAGCAGTCCTAAACTGCCTTTATGTATGATTGTGAGTGTATCCATGGATGTCTGTGCTTCAGATTTTAACATGAAATATCTTAAAGCTCTGTAGTTCTAACAAAGAAAAACTAATAAAAGGCAGGAAGTTCTAGTTGAAACATTTCTTGTCAGCATAATCTCATAGCAAAGCTAATTGTACTGATGAATATTTTTGAAAGTCTGGCCTGATTTGCTTAAGAGAATTACAACAGACATCAAAATCTCTAAACAAAGTGTGATTACATGAAAAGGATTTTAACTATTAAAATTTAAAGGTACATACATTTTAACTGTTACATACAGTAAGCTCTTTGATCTGGGAAAACATATTTTTTGTTTACAAATTGATAAAAAAAAACACACCAATACTTTTTAAATATAACAGGTATATGGTAAATTCATTAAGACCACAACTTTTTACTGTAGAATAACAATACTGTTAGGCAGCAGGGTGGTGAGCTGGGCTGTGTTGCCTTTGTCGCCTCATAGTAGGTGAGTCTCTGTTTGGCCCCCAGTGGGTCAGCAGGTCTTTTTGTGATGTCAGCATGTTCCCCATTTGCATGCATGTGTTCTGTCTGTATAGCTTGACTTTCTCCGACAGTCCAGTCCAAAACCATGCATGTTAGGTTAAACTAACCCAAGAAGTAACACTATGTATGGTCATGTTGGCCCCAGTTTGGGACGGACGTTAGCTTCTGGTAAACAGACCAAAGCAGCTTTAAAAAAATGGATGAATGAGAAAACAAGACATAAAGTCAGAAAGTAGAATTTTTTTTGTAGGAATTCCACTTCTTTTTTTTTAACAGGCAAATATTTGCCTGTTAAAAATAGCTTTTAACAGGCATAATTAAAAAGGCAAGTATCTAATAAAACGGACATCTAGTAAAACGCAGATCTGAGTAATGTGAATGGGCAAACTGTATGAAGCTCTACATGAAGCTCTCTGATAATGACCCACCTGGTGTTGTTTAGCATACCATTCATACCAACAAGACAAATTTACCTGATGTATTAAAACCACATTCAAATACTTAGTTCACAGATTTACTTTGTGGTCATGCGTTTTTTGACAAAGACAGACGAGGATGAATGTCAGAGGGAGGAAGTGTGGGGAAAAGACAAAGGCCTCTTGTGCCAGTCGACATGCTAAACAGCCACACAATCACCTTAACAGGCTTATCTAAGAGGTGTTACAATACTGTTAACTTATCACTTCTTCTCCGTAACCTCAAACCTACTCTCATCTGGCTCTTCTTTGACACAGATCTTAACCCTGCTTGTGTTTTCATCACACACGTTACTGCCAGAAGAATGGTAACAATTTAGCATCCCTGGTTAGTCCACAGCACAACCCTCATGAGAGAAACATCATCTTCAACGAGCCAGGTTTTGATTTAACTCTTGCAGAAAAACAAAACAAAACAAAAAAACATGCAACAATTATTGTCTCAAATGGCTTATTGCCATCTAGAGACTTTATGTCTTGTTTTCTCAGTCTCTATGTAACCTCAGAAAGCCATGGGTAGCGTAAAGCAACCTCCCCTTTTATCTTTTAATCTACCCACAGAATCCTCCCTGCAGAGCTGCTGTTAACTAAAGGGTGGAGATTACACTGTCCAAGCTTCCAGTAAGGGATAAGATAGGATAAAGCTGTGGACATTTCTGTCCTGATTGTCTTCTGAATTCCAGTAAAGCTGTAGACCTTGTGGACCCCAGCTCCACCCCAGTACTCCAAACCTGCTGGGCAAAATTCAGAATGACTGCTGAAGAGAGCGCACAGGGTAATTCCACCATACCATCCCCCACTCAGTGTTCCCCTACAACTCCAGCAAAGTCCCTAAAGTCATGGGAGACATCCCTGATGTCACTGGTGTATGCTTGTTTGTCTGTGTGAAATGATGTGTATGTTTAAACTGCAGTTGGAGGTGCTACTGCCTATTGACCTTTGGAAAAGGGAACATGCCACAGCATGAAACCATCATCCAACCATCATCCAACCATCACCTCTTGGACTCTCTTCAAAATGTGAGTGACAACAGAACAGACAGTTCAAGGATTCCTTATATTTCATTAGTTAAATGGCTAAAATAACAAACAAACAAACAAACAAGAGTTGTTATGAACAAACAAACATTAAAAAGCTTTTTTATTTTATGAAAAAGGCTTTTCATTAAAGTTTAAAAAAGCGACTATGGTTCAGCTGCAACTTTGTCTGTTGATTTTGAAAACTTTACCAGGAATCCCAGTAAAAGTGAAAGACCCCTCACATACATGTTATCTGATTTCCACAGTGCCAAATTGTCCATGCACATCATTACAAAGACCAGTAGGTACATATTCTTTTTCAGGAGAGAAGTGACAAATCCTCCTCAGGATTTTTGAAGTAGTACTTTTCTCAATTGAGTCTAAACATAAAACTTTTCTACTATGAGCTTGAACTTTCTCAAACTTCGCTCAGTTTTTTCCAGACACTCCTTTAGATTCTGCGCTACTTTGAGAAACAGAAAAATGGACATATAGATAATGTCTGAGTGCATCATTTCACATAAGATTCCAATGAACACAACAGAAAGCTCTTGTGTTCCAGTCAAATCATGTGTCAAGGAAATACCACCAAACTAAAAATCTGACGAGGCTAATTACAGTAAGAGGAAATGTGTGAGATGACATTCGTTATGAAAGTCATGTCTCACTCCTGAGCCATTTATAGAACAAACAACCAAATTATTTTCATCCAGTGTGCTTTAGGTGGTTTGAATTCAGATGTCAACGCTTCACTTCTGGGGCCAATCATGACGTGAAATTATTTCCAACACATCTGCCCTGTTTCTTTTTCCTTGATCCATATCAGTGTAATCCTGCCTCATAATAAGATAAGATTATTAAAATTGCAACCATGCATGGTGAAAGTCATCTTCCTTTAATAAAGGGAGGGGGATTAGGGTTCAAAAGGTCTCTTTGAGAGCAGATGCCAGAGGCTGCGACTCTCTGCTGCGACTAAACGACATGCACAGGGAGGCGCTTTGTTCCCCTGCTAGCAGGGATGTCTCAGTCAATAAATAAGAATGAAAAAATGATAACGATAATTATTTCTGAATATCTCTGACATCCTCTTGCTTTCCAAAGTTTTCTATTCAACATTTTGATGAAATCTAAAAGTTGAGCTTTTATTGGATTATCTGAAGACCATTGAGAGACACAGCTGGGATGAAATGCTCTTAATGGCCAACGGACATGTCAAAACTCTCTGATGAATGCCTTTAGGTCTGAAATAATAGGCAGAGGCTTTCATAAGTGTTCATACCTCTTTTTCACATTGTCACATCACAATATGTGGTGTGCAAGACACCTAATTAGGGAATCGAGCCCATCTGTGTGTAATTTAGTCTTAGAATAATTCCAGCTGTTCTGTGAAGAACTCGGATATTTGCTAGAGAACAAAACATCATGAAGACAAAGTAACACTGTAGATAAGTTAGGGAGAAAGTTGTGGAGAATGTTAAAGCAGGGTTCGGTTATAAAATGAGATGTCAAGCTTTCAAGACTAACAGAACACAGGTCAGTTCATCATCCAAAAACTGCAAACAGTACAGCACAACTGCTGTCTTCTGAAATTGCCAGAGTATAAGATTGTTAGTCAGAGAGGCAAACAAGAAGCTCTGTAGGAGCCATGTGGGAGAATCTGTCGACAGGACAGCTACTTGTAGCAACAGTTTCAAGACGAAAGCCAAAAGAAGTCCTCTTTACAGCTTGCCTCAAGCCATGAAAAAAGACACAGCAATTATGTGGAGAACGTGTCACCATCTCCAGTTCAGAGCAGTACTGGCACAGAAAACATGGAGGACAATCCTAAGTTAAAGCCAGAACTACTAGATAATAGTTTAAATCAGGGGTGCTTAAGTCTGGTCTTCGAGAGCTACTATTCTGCAACTTTTAGATGCATTCCTTCTCCAACACACTTGAAACAAGAGAGATGCATATTGCTGGACTTTTGCAGAGCTGAATGTCTGCTGGTGAGGAAATTAAAGCTATTTGGTTCAGATATTTTGGAGCAAGGATGCATGTAAAAGTTACAGGAAGGTTGAGGTGGAACAGTCAGTTCAGAAAAATTAAACTAAACTTAAGTCAAAGCCAAAATAGGATGGCTTAGATTAAACCATATTTATCTCTAAGAATGAGTCAACTGTGGTCCAGACACACTGAGAATGAGCTGTACGACTTAGAAAGTGATGTTTTCATATGCTCTCTGTTCAATCTGACCAAACTTTTGGCATTCTGCAAAGAATTGAAGAAACAATCAGCCTGGAGATAGAGACATCAATCAATGTCTGTACATGCTTATCTTGGAGAGTTGCTTGTGTTTTAGTGGTCGTTGGGCAAGAGGCAAGGTACACTCTGGACTGGTCACCAGTCATTATATGATTGTTTAAATTAAGAAATTAATCAGTCTGGACTGTGGGAGGAAACCA